ATCTCATTTCTTTGTATGAGTTGCTTTCCTGATCTTTGTATTTGTTATTTCTTCAAAGCTCTGTGACATTTATTTTTGACTTTTACTTTCTTTCGATCTTCGGAATTTGCTTAGCCTTTTTATTAGTTATTGTATTACCTCTGTATCTCTCAATCTATTCTCAACTCCTGTTCTGACCGGTAACTGATCGATCTGGGAAACCAATCAGTTGTCTCAACTCTTTTTTTCATTTCCATCAGTTTTTCCGGCTGTCAAATCCATACAATTTTGACACATATAGAAAAAAGTCATTTTTGACAGCCTATATGAACTTCCGCGTTTTCGTAGAGGATAGCGATGAGAAAAACTAGAAATTTTAGTTTGGTACTGCTCAACAGCAAAAATCCCTCGATCAAAAAAGGAAGACTTTCTCAAAAGTTGTTTTTCGAATTTTAACCGATTATCCAAAATTTTTGCGACTTTCCATGATTTTTTTCAAAATTAAGTGGAGGTGATGGTGAGGATAGGCGCGAAAGAAACGAACTGAAGTAGTGAAATTTTTGAAAAAGAGAACAGCTTCGAAGACACTCACGTTTTGAAAGCATTCGATGATGTCAGTTAGTTACAAACACGCTCAATAGTTGTCCTTAGAACAGCCTTCTTGAACACGGAGAACTTTTCGTTTTCTCGTGAACTAAATTTTTCTCTAATCCAGGGAAAATAATTTCGACGGTCATATAATCTGAATAACTTCCTGTAAACGAAGGCATGTCGATGAATTTCACGCGAACACCTTCATGTCAAATGAATTCATGTGAAAAATTTCCTGTCAAATAAGGTCCTGTGACTGAGATTCCTGTGAATGATTGCTTGTGAAAGGAATTCGTGTAAATAATTTCCTGTCAAATAAGGTCATGTAAATAATTTCCTGTCAAATGAATTCAGATTAATAATTTCATGTGAAAAATTTCCTGTCAAATAAGGTCATGTGACTGAGATTCCTGTGAATAATTGCTTGTGAAAGGAATTCGTGTGAATAATTTCTTGTCAAATAAGTCCAGTTAAATGCTTTCTTTCTCTGTATTTGTTCCGTTTCAAATCACCGTTGTCCATTCTCCCTTTTCAGGACTCATTCCAACTAGTCCAATCAGATTCGAAGGAGCTTTTTTGGTAAGGCCCCCATACATGGGGTCTCAGGAAGCCGAAGAAGATCATACATATCTTCACAGAGCTTCCCCAATGCTTCTTCGAATCTGATCAAGTGGTCAACGGTGAAATGCTCTAACGACTGATTGGCTGGGAGAATCGATCAGTCGTTCTGTATTTGTTACTCTTCTGTGAATGAAACTTCCACCTGTAAAAAACACTCGTCTGTAAATATTCTTAGGTTGTGTGTTAAGTGTTTGTGCCGTCCCTGTGCCGTCCTCTATGTTGTCCGTCCTCTATGTTGTCCGTCCTTTATGTTGTCCGTCCTTTATGTTGTCCGTCCTTTATGTTGTCCGTCCTTTATGTTGTCCGTCTTTGTGCCGTCTTCTGTGTTGTTTTCTTTGTTGTATTTTTAATATTGTTTGTAGATCCTGCACCTTCAAGGAGTCGCGCAATGCGAGCGAACTCGGTAAGCAGTATTAACTCGGTGATATTTTTTATGTTTTTCTTTTTCAGCAAATCGGCATAATTGAGGGCACTGCTCAGCAACGCGATAAGAAATGGGAAAAAAAGATAAGTGAAAATCTTGATCAATTTAAAAACTCATTTTGTTCTCACAGCTTTTTTCAAAACGAAAAACTGCGATCTCAGCGAGTTTGGAAATAGCTAAGGCGCGCGGTAGGGAAACGGGACTTCGGAGGAGCCGGGCTGCGACAGCCGAGTTGGCCACGGTTGTCGGTCTGCCACGTTGTGATAAACTCGGTCCTGATTCTTCTGCAGGATGCAGACGGCATCTGGTGCCCAGGGGTTTCCTGGGTATAAGCTATGACGGAGTCTTATAGGCCAGGTTGTGTCCGACGTCCGACCACCACTAACTTAGAGACGTATGGTCGGTGAGAGGTTTCTCGCCAGCTTAGGAACCTTTTTGAGTTGTAGTCTAGTGTGTAGGTGACTTCACGGAACAATTTCTCAGCCTGTGGGGATCGCAATTTTTCATACTCCATTTAGATTTTGATTGGAAAATATTCTAAATGATGAAGATCTTTCGATTACCTTGTTTGATTTCAGCAAATCGTCCATCGAGATGTGAGAATTGTCAACTGGACCATAGTGCAGGTATCACCTTGTTAGATCTATCATACTATGTTCTTTTCCAGCAACGCTCTCTCATCTCCTCTGGAACCTGTTCCAGAGAATCAAAACTACGACGAAAAAATGAGTTTTCTTCTTCTTTTTTTCAGATCCATGAGACAAACTAAAAAGCGTCTCAGAAGACTGAGTCACCAAAGTTTTGCGAATCAACTGCATCTCAGCGAGTTTGGAACAGCTAAGGCGCGCGGTAGGAAACGGACTTCGAGGAGCTGGCTGCGACAATCGAGTTGGCCACGGCTGTCGGTCCGCCACGTTGGATAAACTCGGTCCTGATTCTTCAGCAGGATGCAGACGGCATCTGGTGCCCAGGGTTTCCTGGGTTAAGACGGAGTCTTATAGGCCAGGTTGTGTCCGACGTCCGACCACCACTACCTAGAGACGTATGGTCGGTGGAGGTTTCGCCAGCAGAACCTTTGAGTTGTAGCTAGTGTGTAGGTGACTTCACGGAACAATTTCAGCCTGGGTCGCAATTTTCATACCCATTTGATTTTGAATGGAAAATTCTAATGATGAAGATTTTCGATTACCTTTTTTGATTTCAGCAACTGTCCATCGAGATGAGAATCGTCAACTGGACCAAAGTGCCGGTATTATCTTGTCTCATATAGTTTTCATTATATGTTTTTTTTTTAGCTCTGAAGACTAAGTGTATAGTAATTTTTTTTTCAAGGTGAGGAAGGTTGGCAAGAGGGCGTGACGCGTCGCATGTCCGTTCGCGGCTCTTGGTACGAGCTCAGTATAACCGCCAGTAATTATTTGGAGAGCTCGTTTATCGTTTCTTTTTCTTAGTCATGTATTGATTTTTGCCATTTCTGCACTTAAAAGTAGTAGAGTAGATACAAAAAGAGCGTTGGCCGAGGTTTTTCAGTAGTCGGTGGCGCTTGAATCGTGCTAAGAGGCGCAAATGCACACGTTACGTTTCCTGCGCACTTCTCCGCCTTCCTCGCCTTCAAAATCGGGATGGATTGACTATAACACGTTTTTGATTTTTTCATTTCAAATTCTTTCAAATTTTTTCCGAGAATTTAGTGGAGGTGCTGGTGGTGGA